TTGTTATTACCGTTCAAGATGTCAATACCTTAGTAAATTAAACTGTTTGATTATTATTTTTGCATCAAAATTATAATTTTGTGCCTCCAGCTAATAAACCTGCATTGCCTGAAAGATGTAAAACTGATTATTAGTCCAGTAAAATTTTAATTTAATTAAAAAAAAATCCAGGTGTTTCTTCTTGTTCTTTGGGTACCGTCTTCTTAGCGGAGTTTGGCGATGACTTCTGCAGAGTCTTCCCTATTTTGGGCTTTCCTTATTAAACTTTGAAAGTCTAATCCTGTGCAATCTTTGATGTTGCGCAGCCAGGTTATTTGTCGTCTACCCAGGCCACGTCTGCCTTCTATTTTCTCTTCTATAATAAGCTGAAGGAAGTTATACCTGTCGTGTCTAAATATATGTCCAAGATAAGACGTGTTACGCTTCTTGACAATTTCTGTGAATTCACGTTCTCTATTCATACGCCTTAAAACTTCTTCATTGCTAAAGCGGTCGGTCCATGGAATTTTCAGCATACGACGAAATACCCACATCTCAAAGCTCTCTAAACGTCGTCTAGGTGTTTAATCGCGTTTTTCATTATTGTCAATAATTTTATAGATAGTAAATTATTTTTAGTATTATTTTATTAATGGACTTAATATTACATTTTTTAGGGTCTCTAGTTTTTTTAATTTTTGGTTCTGGATATTAACAGATACTAACAAAAATAGCCTTATAATGAAGCATGTTTAAAATTTCCTTAGTTATTCATTTTTAATGCCTATTCTCAACAACGAAATAGGTCACAGTATGTTCTTTGCCATTATTATCTTTCGTTAGTTAATAAGTTTTTTTACGTACAATGTGAGGGGTTTTTCTAGTGCTTCGCAGTAGTTTTTATTCATTTCTTTCACCTTTAAATTAAACTTTTTCTTATGATTATACATGAATTCTACTACATATGAACATTAGAGCTAATATTTCAACTTTAATATTTTGACCACGGATACTAAGAGAATGGTGTGTTTGTTTTACACCTTAACATTCTTCACTCACTATTCGTAAGTTATTTTTCCATGTTTTTTATATTCTTGCCTACCACCATTGTATTCTTTTAGATTGAACTGATGAAGCTTGTAAATACAATAAGCGAAACGTCTTCAAATATAGGAATGGAACTGTGATTTCCTTTTATTATTTCTCCTTTGACCCATATCCTCGTGAAAAAAAGATTTATTTTTTTTTGGAACTTACTTATTGTATATATATACATATATAAAAGGAAAAGAAGTCTTTGCCGACGTTAGAAAACGGAGCTTTTAGGTTTATTGGGATTTTTCAGCAGTGAAATAAGTGTACTCTTTTAACTAAGTTTCAAGCTTTCGAAAATGTTTATTTTCATCATCAGGAAAAACTGAAAATAAAGTGCTACTGTTAGTAAAGTATCCTCGACATCTATTAAGTGAGAAAAATTGTATAAAGAGAAAGAACACTTACGTTGTTGAGGTTTATCTTTCGTGGATGTTCTACTTACAGGTGACAATTTCACGCACCACTCATTGATTGAGTCAATAATTAAAATATATAAAAATTGCATGGTGTAAAAGACCAAACTTGACAATTTAATTTACTTTAAAACATAAGAAAAAGACAATTACAAGTGTTAAAATGGCCACGTGTGCCGGCCAACTGTGAAATGTTAGGTTAAGAGTACCTGTCATTCCTGGAAATGGCAAATGACAGTACTTCTTCTTATTTCTTTGTCTTATGTATTACTAATTACACATCAATTTGTTAACAAAATTAGTGTTTAGGTTGAAAACAAAATTGTAAAATGAGAACTATGAGAATTCACGAAACCTGGAAACTTTACAATGAATCGGTTGTTGAGACATCATTGAATTGTGAATATGTGTCAAATATAATAGGTAGGAGTAAATAGTGCTTAACTGATTAATGTCACTCTTTTTGTTCATTGCGTTAGAATTTTGAGAAACGAATGCCATTTCTAAGAACAGTCTTTTTTTGGATTTTGTTTTCAGTAGCTAAAATTTTAACTGATTCATAATTCATTATATGATGTTCTTTATTAACATGTTCTGTGGTATACGGTGACTGATTAAGCGACTACCTAGGTTGCGTGTGGTTTGTCCCACATATACCAAATTACAGTTGTTACAAGGTATCTGGTAAACTATGTTGGAACAATCTTTGATGCTGCTTTTGTCTTTAACTTTAGAAAATATAGGTCTTGCCGTTAATGAAGATTTGAAGGCTATTTTTAAATTGGTGAAATCTTTAAAAAGTCTTGAAAGTCTGGGTGTTATGCCTTTTATGTATTTTAGTGAAGTATAAGAGCAATTTGCATTTTGTTCTCCGCTTGTGACAATGTTTTGCACCTCATCATTCTGGCGTGCTACGTTCGGGGTCAAACTGAATAAAATCTTGGTGACTAGGTGTTTTGGGTATGAATTGTCGATGAAAAGGTTTGATAGGATTCTTAGGTTCTTCTGATGGAAAGAATGATCACTGATAGCTATAATTCTAGCTTTTATTTGCTTAAGCAAATTGATTTTTATTGAATGTCTATGGTATGACCAATAGTTGAGGAAACGTCCAGAACTATGAGGTTTTCTATGCCAGTCAATAATCAGGGAATTGTTATGGGTTCTAATGAACCGGGTATCAAGAAAGGGGACTGAGCATAAATCATCCTCATGTTCGAAGGTGAACTGTAGTAGAGGATCATAACTATTGAATACATTTAGGATTTCTGTGGATCCATTGTTAGGGATAGCTAGCATTAGGTCATCCACATACTTTTTTACAAAAGGAATATGAAAGGACAATTCTGAGATAACCATATCCAGTAAGTGGTCCATCACATAACAGGCCAAAATGGGAGAGATAGTAGTAATCAATAAGTGGTGCGTGAAATTGTCACCTGTAAGTAGAACATCCACCAAAGATAAACCTCAATAACGTAAGTGTTCTTTCTCTTTATACAATTTTTCTCACTTAATAGATGTCGAGGATGCTTTACCAACAGTAGCACTTTATTTTCAGTTTTTCCTGATGATGAAAATAAACATTTTCGAAAGCTTGAAACTTAGTTAAAAGAGTACACTTATTTCACTGCTGAAAAATCCCAATAAACCTAAAAATATACATATATATATATATATATATATCTATATATACGTTTTTACAATTAGCACACGGTATAGAATAAACAACATTCGATGATTCATGTATTGTGAAAGGATCCTTTGTTTGTGTACAACTTCGGTACCGTTTTCAGATTCTTAGTTGCAATTTTTAAGCTACTAACATTTTTAAAAATGTTCATTAGCTTAGGTGTTAGGACTGGAATATAGGGTAGGCATCCATACGTTATTTTAGATTGTGGTAGCTCTGATGTGTTGTGTGTCAATGTCGATGTCAGTTGTCGGACCTCATTATTATGAAAATTTTGGTTGTCAAAAAATTTCAATGGAAAAGGAGTACCAAAAATGAGTTTATTTAAAAGCCCTATGAGATAGGAGTTCTCTTGTAGTATAGATCTCAACTTTTTTAGTCCCTTGTCCCTGAATTCGATGTGTGATAAGTTGATAACCCTAGTTTTGAGGGCCAAAACCAAATTTGTTTTCATCTTCGATGGATGTTGAGAATAAAAGTTTATGAAACGGTTACTAAAACAAGGTTTACGATACCACTCCGTAATTAGCATGCCATCACTGCCACGATGTATCAGCATGTCTAAAAAATGAATCATATTCTCCGCCTCTCTCTCAACCGTAAACTTTAAGTGTTCACACTGGGCATTAAAGATGTTTAAAACATCAGTGATTTTGTTTTCAGGGACTGATAAAATCAAATCATCTACATATGGCTTGTAAAAAGGTTTTTCTTTACACGTTCTTATAATTTCATTCAAAACAAAATTACATAGAATGGGGGATATTTTGCTGCCCATTGGAGTGCCAAAGATTTGTTTGAAAAAATTAACATTGAACAAAAAGATGTCTGAGTCAAAGATAAATAATGTTCAAATCATCTAAACTGATCTTGGTATGCGGAGAGATGCCGTCCCAGTATATATATATATATATATATATATATATATATATATATATATATATATATATATATATATATATATATATATATATATATATATATATATATATATATATATATCACACTTATTAGAGCTGCAGTCAGAAGTTTGGCCGGGATGTTATAGAAACACTCTTTTGACTTTTGGTCTAGCTTTCGGAATTGTTTTATTCCTTTTTAAAGACACTGTAATTAGAAGAATGTGTAAATATTTACAATATATTGTAAATACCATATACCAAGATACTAATATATGAAACTCTTATTAAACTTGTCCTGGCATACGCGTCAGAGCCATGGACTAGTAAAAAGCAACCAAGAACTTTAGGCCGTTTTGAAAGAAGAATACTTAGGCACATATACGAAGGAGTACAAGAAAGCGGGATATGGTGCAGGCGCTATAATTTTGAGTTGTATCAATGCTATGAAAAATGCAACATCGTCTAAGGTGGCTAGGACACCTTGAAAGAATGGACACTGGAGACCCTCAAAGACAAATATTATATCAAGAGCCAGTAGGAACCACAAAGAGAGGCAGGCCAAGATCTAGGTTTAAATCTCAAGTCGAAGATGACTTGAGGAATCTAGGGGTCAGAAATTAGAAAGCCAGGGCGAAATATAGGGGGAAATGGAGACTAATTCTTGAACAGGCCAAGAGCCACCCAGGGTTGTAGAGCCAAGAATGATGATGATGATAACCAGTTAATAAAACTATAGGCTCCATTCAACGCGTCAAAAGCTGATCACCTTCTCAAACCAATATTTTGGGTCTACAAAGATTGCTCGTTTTATTCTTCTTCTTGCAGTACCGTCTCCTATCGGAGGTTGGCTACCATCACAGAAATCTTTACTTTGTTGGCTGCAGCTCTGAACAACTATATTGAACTGCACCCATACCACTCCCTTAAATTTCGCAACCAGGAAATCCTCCTACGTCCCACATTTCTCTTTCGCGAGATTTTTTGTTGGATTATGAGTCTAAGCAGAGAGTACTTTTTTCCTTTCATTATGTGTCCCATATATTCCAGTTTTTTCGTCTGTATGGTTTTTATGACTTCGCATTCCTTCCCCATCTTCAGCAGAACATCTTGATTTGTTACTCTTTCTGTCCATGGTATTTTCCACATTCTCCTGTAACACCACATCTCGAATGTCTCAATGTTTTTAATGTTTATCTTTTTCAGTGTCCAGGCTTCCATGCCGTACAGCAGAATAGAGAAAACATAGCACCTTAACATTCTCGTTCTTAAGTATATATATATATATATATATATATATATATATATATATATATATATATATATATATATATATATATGTCCCGACTGCATAGGAACTTTTTCATTTTGAAAAACGATTGTCTCGATATCTCTATTCGCCTCTTGATTTCTCTTGTCTGGTCATTAGTATCAGTGAAGCAAACCCCTAAATATTTGTAGGACGTAACTCTTTCAACTGGCTGATTATTTATGGTTAAATTCACATTGGTGTATAGCTTCTTTGTTACAATCATGAATTTAGTCTTTTTGATGTTCAGTTTTAGACCATACTTATTGGTATGAGTGTTTATGTTTTCCATCAAAAACTGTAAATTTGCTAGGTTATCTGTTACTCTTAGCGTGTCATCAGCGTATCGTATATTGTTAATTAACTCTCCGTTAATGTTCATACCAATGTTTTGCTCTAGGTGCGCTTCCTGACATATTGTTTCGCTATATATATATATATATATATATATATATATATATATATATATATATATATATATATATATATATTGAATAATAGTGGAGAAAGCACACAACCTGACGCATATTTGACAAATCTCAATTTCTTCGGTTAACTCATTATCAACTTTGATTTTTGCTGTTTGTCCCCAGTACAACCTGGATATGATGTTAATGTCGCGACTGTCGATGTTTTTGCTTCTTAGGATTTCATACAGCTTTTGGTGTCTGACTTTATCGAAGGCCTTCTCAAAATCTATGAAACCTACGTAAAGGTCTTAGTTTATTCTCGTTTTAGAGAGGTCTCGTTTTATTACTGTCACATAATTTATTATTATATTCCAATCTTTTATCCTTATATAAATATTCTCATCACTATAATTTTCAACAACCCGACCTATAAAATAAAAGCTTTTACATTTTATGAAGTACACGGAGTACATACTGAATTAGTTGATTACTAACAACGAACATTAAAACCTCTCCAACTTATGGCTGGTATAAACTAAAACACGTAAAAACTAACAGCTTTTTAATGTCGATTTCGATTTTTCCGACCATTTGACCGGATTAACAGAATTCGGTATTTACATTAGAATTGAATACACACGAGTGAGATTCGTTTGTTTTTGTTCACAGCAGATGTTTGGGGCCGTTAGAAAAATTAACAAGCCCTGTGAATAGACACGAATCAGTCAAAGCAGTTACAAAATAATCAGGAAATTTATGACTGGTGCCAGTGAATATTCGGCCGTGTGAGAGGTAGAGTAAAAATGTGATTTATGTGAAATTTTCTATATTAATATTCGTTGTTTATCCAGGCCAACGTTTCGACCAGTTCTTGAATTCTATATGAAAGTCAAAGGTAAATAAATTGTCTTTTAAGAATGTACTCCCTAAAATAAATTGAATTAAAAGTAAATTATACTTCGTTCAGTTGGGCAAGGGATAATAGGGGACGCCATTTGCAAAATTTTTTGCTAATAATGTATCGCTCAAACTAACTGACTAACTGACTATTTTAACTTTATTTTAATTCTGAAATAAAGTTAAATTTGTCAAGATTCGAAAATAAAGCTGGTCGTCTATTTTATTTTTAAAAATAATTATCTCAGCGAGATACTTACATGCCTTGACATACAAAATGACTTACGTATTACTTGCTCAGATTGCAAACACCCTTCGTTGTAAGGCATTGTTAAAATAACCTTCATTAATGAAACGGGTAAGAAAGGTAAAACACAACAACGATACATCATGCTTTTTGCAACATCTATTATACCTTATTAAGTATGTACATAAACTTCAAAAAACAGTCGTTGTTCAAAATGAGAACCACCATTCCTAATGCACGCTCTTGCCTTGCGCCGTATTTCTGATATGATTACTTTTAACCTCAGTTCTGCCCTTATAATGTCAGCTGCTTCGATAATCCTTTTCATTAAATGAGCTCTAGTTCTGATTTCTTCTTCTTCACGTGCCATCTCCGCTACGAAGGTTGGCTATCATCATGGCAGCTTTGACCCTGGAGGCTGCCGCTCGGAACAATTGTATGGAAGTGCAAGCAAACCACTCCCTGAGGTTTCTCAACCATGACATTCTTCTCCTACCTATGCTGCGCCTACCTTCAATCTCTCCTTGCATAATTAGTTGTAACAGTTGATATGTATTCCCACGTGTAATATGTCCCAGGTACTGTAGTTTCCTCATTTTAACACTCAATACGACCTCCTTTTGTTTGTTCATCCTGTCTAATACAACTTGGTTAGTTATCTTATCCTTCCAGGAGATTTTTAACATTCTTCGGTACGCCCACATCTCAAATGCCTCCAGTTTACCCATACATTGCTTATTTAGTGTCCACGCCTCCACCCCATATAACAGGACCGAGAAAACATAACATTTAAGCATTCGTATTTTCAGCTTTAGGCTTAGGTTTCGGCTACACAACATTTGTATCATGTTGTTAAAGGCACTGCGGGCTTTCTCTATTCTTATTCTTATTTCTGTTCTGATTGGAACTTGATAAACAAGTTCTTTGAATCTGCCCCAGATGTGGTAGTCACACGGTGTTAAATCGGGCAAGCTGTAACAACACGTTCACAATGTGCAGGGCATCCATCATGTTGGTACACCATTCTTCGTCTGAGGGCAAGGGGTAAATCTTTTAAGATTGGTGGTAATTCATTCTCTAGAAAATCTAAGTGTACTTGACTATTTAACCTACCAGGCAAAAAGTAAGCTCCTATTAACTCTCTTCCGATAACTCCTACCCAAACGTTGACACTCAATTTTTGCTGAAAAGATATTTCTTTTGGTAGATGGGGATTATCATGTGTCCAGTAATGCATTTTGTGAAAATTTGTTATTCCTTCCCTATTAAAACTGAATTCATCAGTTCATAAAATCAGTTGATGTCTGCATCTAACAAAAAGCTGCAAAAATTTATCCTTCTAATTGGATCACCTTGTACTGGCGTATAATGACAAGGGTAGCGTCCATTGTTGTGCACTACCGACTAGAGATGACAAAGTCATTTCCATCAAGGGATCAGGTGCACTGACTCCGATTCCGACTGTAGACTCGGTTCATTTTTGCAGGTGCAGGTGCAGCTGGTAACCTTAACAGGTTTTGACAACAAATTGTAACTAAATCACGTTCTACTTTTCTCAGATCAATCTCAATTTTTCCCGCTTTACGCTTTGAAAAGTACAATATCTTTCTACGGTTTCAAGTATACAGAAAAGTACAGAATGTCTCTTAAATATATACTAGTTACGGAAGAAAGGCAAAGAAGACGTATACACTTTGCAGTATTTACTGTTGTAATATGGACTTACAAAAACTATCATGTTTGCAGCCATTATTGTTACTTTAATTTTATGTTAATGATATATTAAAAATATGAACCCAAACTATTTTTAATCTCTACGGAATGTTACAATTGCTTGTTGTAGTTATTAAATAAACACCATATAATTATGTACGAGGAAATATCCAGTTTTTGTTTGACAACGGACTGTTGGACTTCTATAAATGGTGAAAGCTTTTTGACAGTAACGATGCATTTTGTAGATAAATTGTTTAATGTCCGACAAGACAAATGTTACTAAAATGCCACCAACTTAATGAACGACATACTAGCATTAATTTATCAAGAGTATTGCAAACTATTATAGAAGAATGGTCACTAATAAATAAGGTATCTCTCATAGTTTCCGACAATGCGGCGAATATTAAAAAAGCAATAGAAGACTTGAATGAAGCATCTTGGCTGTTTTGCACATAGTTTAAATTTAATCGTGCAAGATGCTTTAAAACTAGTTGAGCCGATCGTCACCAAAGTAAAATTAATAGTGGCCCACTTTAAAAAAAGTTCAGCAGCTAATGATTATTATTACAGTATCAAAAAAATTTAGGAACTAGTTGCCCAAAAAAAATTTGTAAGACGTTTCTACAAGGTGGAATTCCATCTTTGCCATGTTACTGCGATTTGTGAAATTGGAGGAGGCAATACGATCGACAATTGCTCTCTTAAACATTTAGTTACCTATAATAACGTTAGAAGAATGGGGCTTGCTAAAAAATTTGGTAGACATTTTACGCCCTTTTGAAACTGTAACTTCATCAGTTAGTGGGGAAAAATACATATCGGCGTCATTAGTAATTGTATTTACTGTAGGTCTAATAAATGTAATGGAGGAAATGATTACTTCTGGCGAACTGAAATCAGATTTATCAAACCAAGTTATTGGTAAACTAAAAAATGGACTCCAAACACTAAAAACTCCAAACAAAACTAAAAAATGTTATGCTGACTGCCAATACGTTTTTAGATCCACGTTTCAAGCTTCTACCATTTCAAAGCACTGTAGCTGCAGATCAGATAAAGAAAAAAGTGACAAATATGGCAGCAGATCTCGTTGCACAAATTAGGGCTACACCGCAGACAGAATGGAAAAAGAACCGACTACTAGTAGTGAATCAACGAGAAGCAAATAGTAGCTTTGGTCTTTTTAGATAACAAAATATCTAAAAAACAACCGGTAGGGACAGGGATCAGTAAAGCTATCGTAGAAATGCAGCGATATATTGAAGATGATATCTTAAATAAAGACGAAGATTCCATCTTTGGTGGAAAACCAATCGACATAATTATCCCACTTTAAGTTCACTAGTAAGAAACAAGTTTGCTTTAGTCAGATCTGTTCCATGTGAACGTCTATTTTCGAGAGCTGGACAAATTTTGAATGAAAGACGTACGCAATTAAGTGCTCAAAAAGTCGAAAAATTATTATTTTTGCATATTAAAAATGACTTTTTAAATTTAAGACATTCTAGCATATAAATATCATTTTGCGTATTTGTTTTTTTTTATACTTAATATTGTAATAACACTATTTTTATTAAAGAATTTTTTTTATAGCTATTTATTTTTTTGGCACCTTGCAGTGTAATTTGACACCACATTAATTATCATAAAAAAACAAATTTGCTCAAATAACATCTTTGATTTTGAATTTTACCATCTCGAATTAGAGCATACAACGAACCAGTTCAGCAGCAGGGCCAAGCTATAATCGATTCACTATTCAGTTATTAATCCCAGTCGAGTTCC